TCATTACAGTCAAAAGGTGATAATGCTTGTGCTATGACATTTTTTTGAGTGTGGAGGTGCTGACAGGATAGGGAGAGAAAACAGACGTTTTCACAATATTTATAATTATTATTCATGTAGTTTATAGTAACTTTAAGCACATGAGAGGAGACTTCTCACCCTCTCCTTATCCCACCATCCCCCATGGCATACACCCATTCCAGAGCATATAACTGCCCTGCCGGCATTTGCAAATCCCCCTCCCCTGCCCATCTCTGTATCTGCAGCTACAGCTGACTGTTAGCAAGCTCAGAGGAGGACATTCAGGGCATCTTCACTACCGTTTTACAGCAGTGCCGATGCGCTATGTAGACGAGAGAGCACTCTTCTGTCTACGTAATTACTCCACCAAAACGAGAGGCAGAAACTATGTCGGCAGGAGATCATCTCCAGCTAACATAGTGTGGTGTAGACACTGCTTTAAGTTAAGGTAATTTACGTCGCTTAGAGGGGTGGTTTTTTCACCCCCCCGAGTGACGTAAGTTACATCAACTTAAGCGGTAGTGTAGACAAGTCCTCAAAAAGGTGTGAAATGGTCCATTCATCTCAATGAGATGTCCCCAATGAATGAGAACACACCACGAAAATGAATGCAGCCTAAAAAGGGCTCAGAGAGGTAAGAGCTGCTCTGTTCATCTCAGTGGGTGTTCTCACTCCATCACATTTGTGGGTCTGTACCAAGCACTAAGCAATCCTGTTCTCTGCTCCTCATCCTGGTCTCAGGATTGTCTTTGGTGCATGCTCTGGTCATGCCGCTTCTCAGCTCCCAACTATGATCTCAGTGCTGTGTACTGTACCGTGCACCAAACATTCCTCTCCTCATCCCAATCTCTGTATTGTATGCCTGTTCCATGCACTGAGCATACTTGTTCTCAGTTCCCAACTATGATCTACTACAAAGAAGGGCAACAAAAACGATTAAGGTTATGGAACATGGAGAGAGATTAAAAAGACGAGGACTTTGCAGCTAGGAAAGGAGACGATAAGTGGGGGGTACAACAGAGGTCTATAAAATCATGAATGGCGTGGGGAAAGTGAATAAGAAAGTGTTATTTACTCCTTCGTATAACACAAGAACCAGGGGTCACCAATGAAATTAATTGGCAGTAGGTTTAAAATGAACAAAAGGAAGTACTTCTTCACAAAACACAGTCAACCTGTGAAACTCGTTGCCAGGGGATTTGTGAAGGCCAAAACTGGGTTCAAAAAAAGAATTACGTAAGTTCATGGAGGATAGGTCTATCAGTGGTTATTAGCCAAGATGGTCAGGAATGCAAACTCATGCTCTGGGTGTCCCTAGCCTCTGACTGCCAAAAGCTAGGAGTTTATTACAGGGGATGGATTACTTGATGATTACCTGTTCCGTTCATTCCCTCTGAAGAACCTGGCACTGGCCGCTGTCAGAAGACAGGATACTGGGCTAGATGGATTACTGGTCAGACCTAGTATGGCTGTTCTAATGTTCTTATGATCTCAATGCTGTGTACTGTGCCATACACTGAATATGCCCATTCCACTCCTCACTGAACGTTCTTGTTCCCCTCCTAGTCTCAGCACTATGGGGCCATATTTTGAAAGAGGGACAGAAATAGTGATGGGGGCAGGAGGGGATATTTGCAGGGGGAGAGCTGAAATGCTCCGCAAATCCCTCACTGCATGCTCTGATCGCCCTTCTCTCCTCCCCACACTCTCCTGCACTGCTCTGACCTCCCTCTTTCCCTAGTAGCAGCAACAACCAGTGAAGGGGGAGCTTTGAGCCCCTTCCCCACTGCTGGAGGCAGCATGGAGAAGGAGGGAAGTTCTGGGTTTCTTACCCTGATTAGGGGACAGTGGAGGGAAGGGAAGCCTCTGAGCAACCTCCATCTCCCTTCCCTGTTCAAGTCTAGCACTGTTGCCCAACTTACCCTCCCCCCATGATTCTACTCTGTCAGCACTTCTGAGCAGCCAGCGAGCAAAGGTCCCTTTGAGGATGAGCCTTTATTCACTGAGGGATCACAGAAAAACTACATTTTTTGGAAATCCAGTGCAGCATCAAAACTCTAGTCACTGAACTGGGCTTTAAAAAAAAACACAGTATTTGGATGATCCTTTACACTAATAAGAGTCATTGTCTAAAGGTGTGCTGCACAACTCTAAGCTGGCAAAGGGCCAGAGCACCACCCTGCATCCTTCCAGTCTCCATATCCCCTGCATTGCTCCCACGCCCCCACATTTGCCTTCACTGTTCTGACCCCCTATAGCCTCTGGCTCTGCACCAAAAAAAATATGAGAAGCTGTAAATGTTACGAGCAGTTGATGTTGGGGGGCGGGGAGGCTGTGTATCAGGAACCCTTGATCAAACAACTCAGCATCTTGCTTTTCTTTTGATCCCACTTAGTTCCATTCTGTGGAAGCAGATGAAGATTATGAATCATGAATACATTACCCTAACCACTTACATTCTTTCATCTTCTCTTTATTTAATACCTATTTCCTTGATAATATTTTTAAAGTACAATCAGAGTCTGAATGTGAATTTTAGAGCATATCTCATTCAAATATTACTCTTCAACTAGAAATTTTGGTTCCAGGGCAAAACTTTCCTGCAGAATGCAGTCAGAGATCAAGGACACACACATAACACATTCTCTAAAAGCCGCTAATGGTAGGGCTCAAATTCACATTGCCGGGTGCAGCTCAGGTTCAGTCACCACAGCATGCAACCCAGTTACTGTGACAACAGGCCGCCTACCACCTTCTGGCTTCAACCGAGCCCTAGCCTTGCTGCAGACATGCATTTCACTCTTGGGTACATCAGTTTGGCATGCACTGAACTGTAGTTACAAACTTTATTCTTAATAATTTTTTCAATGTGGCTTCCCCAGAGGGGCAGTGGGTCCCATACATTAGCTAAAATAAATCCTCAGTGACTGAGATCAGTTTGGGGAGAACCAGAGCCAGAGTTTGAACCCCAGGTGCAAAAATAGTTAGATAAACCAGATCATTTTTTGGGGTGGGGGAGCCTCTTACTCAAATGACCACAAACTTAGACCACTAACACTACCCCCAGCACCCTCCTAAGACACAGCAAATTTAAAGACAATCTAACTAAGCATGCAGATTTTGAGAACTTACAATAGTCATCCCTTAAACAGCAACACTCAACCTTAACTTTAGCAGAGGGAGAAACATGTTGTTACATAAAATTCTCTCTTATTTTCCTCAGTCACTAACATTTGTACTTAAGATTCTCTGTATCTTTATTCTTCTCAGTTTTGTGTACTTTTCAAGTAAGAATTATGCAATACAAGAAAAAAGTGAGTGATATAGTTTCTGAGAACACGGGTACACAATATTCTCGCTTGCAAAAGATATTTAGCAAAATCTCCAAAAACACTAACTGAGAGGGATTTAAAAAAAAAATTAAATGGGAGCTGAATATACAATAAAAATGACCAGGTGGAACATCACTTTTAAAAGGTCACATCACAGAATTTAAAAAATAAGAATAAATTGTAATAAGGCTATGTCTACACTACAGCCTATGTTAGCAAAACTTATGTCGCTCAGGGGTGTGAATATTCCACCCCCTGAGCGACATAAATTACACCGACATAAGCGTTTGTGTGCACAGCACTACGTCGCTGGGAGAAACTCTCCCGATGACATAGCTTATACCGCTCGCGGAGGTGGATTTTTTTTTCATGCGAATGGGAGAGGTCTTTCCCATAGGCGTAGAGTGTCTCCACCAGATGTGCTGCAGTAACGCAGCTGTATCGGTACAGTTGCACTGCTGCAGCGCTGTATGTATAGATATACCCTAAGAAGAAAGGAAAAAACACAGAACTCCAAAGGTTAGTAATCTATCTTTTAAACAAAAAGGGCAATCTACTTTTTCTCATTAAAAACTGACACACAGCACTAACTGAGGAGATTATGTTGTGAAAACATACTGCATCGCATGGCAGTGCTTGATCGAGATCAGCAATCAGGAGCAAAAGGAAAGTACGGTTTCATGATTATAATAGCAAATTCTGGATGACAACCAAATACATCATCTGGCAGCTCAACAGCTGTTACAGCTTGGTAGTAATACCTTGGCATTTGCTATAAACTATAACTTGAAAAAATTGATTTCTCATCTGCCAGAAACAAGAACAAGTTCTCCTTTTAACATTTCTGAGTTTCTTTCAATAGAATAGTTAGATTTTCAAGCCATTTTTATTCTGCATGTTTCTCATCATGGCTGCCAAGTTAATTTCATATTATTTTATTTTGATTCAAAAATAAATTTGGGGGATAAATATTGGATGTGACTTAAATAAACGACATGCTTAGCCAAATTCCATCATAATATCATGGCGAATAGTACGGAATAGTTGTCCTTCATGTTAATATTTATTGCCTTGACCATTTAGTCATAATTATACTTCAGACTCACTTGAAAACAGGAAGTTTCCAAGCAGTTTGAAGTTCAGGAACCTTCTTGCTGTTTTGTTGGTAGTGAAGGAAATCATTTTTCATGTTGGAGTCAAAGTGGATGGATGTAGCCACATAATATATTATACTTATTAATGATGAGACTATCCCAGTATTTGTTTTTAAACAGCTCCTGGATATAACATACTAGAAGAAGGCAGGAATTCATGGCTATTTTGCATAACTATATAAAACCATTAAAGCATTTTTATTTATAGAGTACCTGTATAAAAAATCCTGTTTTTAAACATATAATATTTCACTGGCACTGTTAAATAAAAGTATGCTTCTTATCAAGAATGTGGAACATTTAAAGTCCATTAGAGTTTCAGTTATTCCAGTTATTTGAAGGTTCAAAACAATCCCTCATAAATATTTTAGATTCTGGCATTCCACTTAAGTCTTGAAGTGTCAAACAATATCTCTCAAAAATCAATATTCACACAGTACATCTATGGGGAAAAGAAACTCAACATGGTGTAAGCTATCAAATAGATATCTACCTTTATGCCCAGTGCAGTTTTCTTGGCCTCTGCTTTTAATCTTGTTGCTCTTAACACTGGCCTGCTTTTCTTGTAATCTTGTTTTCCTAAGGTAGAAAAAGAGTTAATGTAAATGATCCACTGAAGATAAGATACAACTACAATAATTTTAGCTTCAGTGGCAGATCTAAAATTTTTAAGAATTCAGTGATAGAAAGAAAGAGTTGTGCCACAAGAACGGGACCAACAGCAGGGTCAACAATGGCCTTTAAAACAAACAACAAGAACCAGAAAACCAAAACAGTAGTTAACAAATCAACCTAGAGCCTGATAGCCCAGTGAGCTACAAAATGCAAATTATGATATGCCTCCAATGATATGTTATTTACTAAAATGGCAACTGCAACGTTCAGTAGCCATCAGACAGCATGTATGTAGAAAACATCATCCTTCTGCAGGAGTCCCCCCCTTCCACAAGTGTATTCAGCATCTATTCATATCCAGTGGAGAGATCCCCTTTGTGGCATACAGAGGATGCTCCCCTTGTATAAGCTCTCCTCCCCTGAACAGCCCCACCTTAGGGATTAAATATTGTGAAGACCGTCTGTACTCGGGCAAAAGTCATGGATAAAGGATGTGAATAATTATGATGCATTTGATGCCAAAAGGAAAGGCATAGCACTAGAACGTATTGTCAGAGGAAAGCTAAGAGAGTCTCTTAGAGGAAGGAAGGGAAAGAGAATTAGGGAATGAAAATTTGTATCCTAAACTCCAACAAATTCATCCAGTCAATGCATCGTAAATATTTTCCACCATTAGAGTACAGGGCCACTGGAGCTTTATATTGCAGGAGCTGCTGACCTCCTAAGATAAGAGGGCACAACAGAGCAGAAGAACAGTCATTTTCTAAAGCAATCAGAGAAACAACCCAAAGGATACCTCATGAGAAGAGAGGAAACAGAACCAGCAGGGGTGTCTACCCTCAAAGTATTTATAATAGCACTGTTTGCTATGCAATGGTTAAGAAGCTGTCAGAATTTCCATTATAAATTGCAGGAATTTATAACTCATAAAAATTCACTCCAGGGTGAAATTTGGCACAGAACTATCCCAGCTTGGAATATTTTTGAGCCAATTTTCAATAAAGTGATGCAGCTGTTCCAAGTTACTTGTGAACAAACTATAGAAATTTATCCATTTGGGATTTTTTAAAAACTAAAAATATCTTCAGCTTAAAAAAAAAAGATAATTGAAAAGTGCTAGCTCCAGTTTCAGCTCTCATGACTCAAATTCTGTCTTGCCTTCCATGGTAAACAAAGCAGAACAACCAACAGAATGACTTACATCCAAATATCTGCTCTTCCAGTGATGCAACAGAATTAGATAATGAGAACTATGCAGCTTTGAAAGAGCATAGGGAACCAGAAGCTACTGACATCAACAACTGAAATCCCCCCACTTACTGATATTCCCTCTGAAGGGTAAACTGCAAAGATGACCGACATTGGAGTAAATATTTCATATGGGGTATGTATCCTCTTTGATTAAAGTTCATTTGTTAGGATCAAATCTACTACTACAAAGAGAAAGTCTATTATTGCTTGTAGAAAGGTGGCCATTTACTGCACGCCCCCTCGTGGCCAGAGGTTTCTTTTCAGACACGCTTCCCTTTTGCCCCCTCTTGCAGGCCACTTAAGAACTACACACAGGCTTTCACATGAATACCACCACCATCTGCTTGGGGATGGTTTAATAACAAAAACAATCCTCAGGGTCCCAAAATAAAGTCCATCACCACGTAACAGCCCATACTTATCTCTGGTATCTTCTCTCACAGCCAGAGCTCTTCTTCTATCCCAATCTGTTCTCACAGCTCAACTCTTCTTGGCTGGAGCTCAGTCTTCTGGCACTGGCCTCTAGGCCCCCAAACTTCTAAGGTCCAAACTCAACCCAGGTTTTCCCATAGGAGCCTCCTGCTCCGTTGGTCTCAGGACATTTCCTGCAAGAGCCCTTCTCATTCCCTCCCATCTCTCTATGCTTTCTTGTGCTTTCCCAAACCACTGCAGCCTATGGCTGTTCTTTATAGGAAAATCACCCTGATCTTTCCCAGGTTTGGCTCATTCTGTATTAGGAGCTTCAGCCCACCAGCCCTTAAGGTTTATGCCACCCTGTTACATTAAAACAACAACGAGTCCGGTGGCACCTTAAAGACTAACAGATTTATTTGGGCATAAGCTTTCGTGGGTAAAACCCACTTCTTCAGATGCATGGAGTGAAAATTACAGATGCAGGCATTATTATACTGACATATGAAGAGAAGCTATCAGGGCTACCCCCAATACCTGTTACATTATTCTTTCCATCAATTTCAAGCATTCTGGTACTACTTATTTCAGTAATGTGGTTACTGATGAGGCTGGATTGCAGTTACATAGAGAATGCTTCCAGATTTATATTAAAATTGATATGAACAACTAAAATCACCTATATAACAAATATTGTAATGACTCTACAGCAGTTAATTCTCCAAAACGACGTACCTGTCATTTAATTTACCACTCCTTGCTAAATATGACAGCCAAAAGACATACTGGTGAAGAGTCTTGAGTCCGCCAAGTGCAAAAGTTTTTAAAGGGCATCTCTTCAGTTTTTTGCAATGAAAACTAGATCATACAATTGTACTAAAAAAACTTTCTATAGTTTGTTCACAAGTAACTTGGAACAGCTGCATCACTTAAATATCTAAATATCTGAACTTTCTAAAGCCCTAGGAAGGTCATCTGCACTAAAGGACTGTAAAGAACTATGAAATGCAAAGTCCCTGGCACATAAAACTGATAATTATCACCTGTAACACATTGCACAGATAAATAACGTAGGTTCCTTAGGTTCTTTGGGCCTACAAATTCAACAGGTTGGAATATGCATTTGCACACTTCTAATTCCTTCCTGTTTCATCATGGTCATACTGCAAGCTTTGTCTGTACATGTATCAGTCATCATTAGTCTAAGCCAGTGGTTCCCAAACTGGGGTTCGCAGAACGTTACAGGGGGTTTGCAAGAAAAAATTAATGGCGGACAGAGGACCCCAGCATTGGAGGCAGTAGGTGGGACCTGGTTGCAGGGCAAACAACCAGAGCCCCAGGGAGAGCAGGGCCGTGCAGTTGGGGCTGGCAGCCCAAGCCCTGCCCCCGTCAGCGGGGGAGTCGGCAGCCCGAGCTCCAGGGAAAGCGAGGCCAGGCAGTTGGGGCCGGCAGCCCGAGCCCTGCCCCTGTCAGCGGGGCAGCCGGCAGCCCGAACCCCAGAGCTTCAGCGGAGCTGGCAGCCCTGAGCCCCAGGGAGAGCGAGGCCGGGCAGTTGGGGCCAGCAGCCCGAGCCCCAGCGGTCAGCGGGACCTGCAGCACAAACTCAGTGGAGCTCAGTTGACCGGGGCGGTCAATGGGGTCCAGCAGCAGGAGCCCCAGGGAGTGTGGATCCGGCAGCCCAGTTCCTGGCACGGGGCCAGTAGCCTGAGCCCTGTGGCGGGCAGGATGGCAGCTGAAACCCCCAGACCTGCAGGTGGCAGCTCGGACTCCTGTCCTTGTCAGACAGGGGAAGTTGGCATGGAGGGCAGAGTGAGCAGGAGCAGTGCTGTACGTGGGGGGTGGTCCAAGCTAATTTGTCCCTCGCAGGACACCCTCCTAGAGAGAAACCTTGTGGCGGAAGAAAAGCTGTTTGGGAGCCAAACCAGCTGGAAGCACGTTGTAGCCAGTGTAGCAGTGTTAAGGTGCCTCTGTAATTGTCATTCTCTCTGGAGTGCTGTTTTGCTTCAGTGAGACTTGAGTGAATCTTCTCATTTTCTAGTTTGTTGGTTGTTAGCAGTCTCTCTGTGTTGTTTTTATTAGAACTTTTGTACACAAGTTCAATGGATAAGTGGCTGAAAAAGGAAAGTGTAAAGACGCAAGAATCAGCTAGTGTTTCCTCAAGTCCACACTGTGGAACATCTACGTCTAATGATCATGATGGTCCTGGAAAGTCACTTACAAAGAAAAGAAAATAAGATGATGATTATATAAAATATGGCTTTACATACATATTGGTGATCAAGAATATCCAAAACCACCGTGTGTGATTTGTGGTGATGTTCTAGCAAACAGCAACCTCAAACCTCTACTTTGGCGCCTTAGAAACTAGGCATCCTGCACAACTCGACAAGCCTGTTGATTTTTTCAAGCGAAAATTAGTTGAGAGGAAAAGTGACATTACCAGTTTTATATCCAAAGCAAGTACTGATAATGAAAATGCACTTGAAGCATCATACCGCGTGAGCTACCGAGTAGCAAAAGCATCAGGAGCCCATACCATAGCAGAGAGCTTGATTGGTCCATGTATAAAAGACGTAGTTCATTGCATGCTCGGAGAAAAGTCTGCAAAAAGGATTGACATGGTACCTTTGTCCAATAATACGTTGTTACGAAGAATTAATGACATGTCAAATAACGTAGAGACCATAATTGTACAGAGAGTGAAAAATAGTCCATATTATGCTATACAGTTGGATGAATCAAGTGATGTAGCTAATCTAGCTATTTTGCTACTGTTTGTACGTTATGTGAATGAAGGTCTGGTTGAAGAAGACTTGTTGTTTTGCCGACCATTGGAAGAACATACAACTGGAGAAGATATCTTCAATCTGATTAATGCAGATTTTCAAGAAAAGGAAATTGATTGGTCTCGTTGCCTAGGCATCTGCATTGATGGGGCCACATCAATGACGGGGAAGTCTCCTGGATTTGTAGCTTGATAGTTGCATCAAAAGTCTCTTGGACTCATTGCAGCATCCATAGACAAGCCCTCACAACAAAATGCATGCCTGAGGGACTGCAGGAAGTGCTGGACAATGCAGTGAAAATTGTGAATTTCATAAAATCACGGCCAACAAATTCCAGAATATTTCACGTCCTTTGTGAAGAAATGGGTAGTATACATGATTCTCTGTTGACCCATACTGAAGTTAGATGGCTCTCACAGGGCAAAATCCTGGTACGCTTCTTTGAGCTTAGAACGGAAATCCTAGTTTTTTTCAACAGCCACCCTTTCCACCTTGCCAGCTGTATGGAAAATAATG